TTTGGTATAGTGCTCGGTCGTGTTCCTATCGTTTCGTGCGTTTTTGTTACCGCGTGTGATTTTTTTTCTGCATCTTGGTGCACCGCTGAGTACCCAGGACGTTGTACTGCACCGTGAAAATTGTCACGAACAATTTTCGCCGTGATTAGTGCACTTCCGAACATTATTAGTAAAATCTAGTGAAAATGGGCGAGGAAGCAGACAACATTCAGGCGTTGAGACGCCTTACAGTTCGTCCCGCGCCGTTTTTCGCTGACCGTTTAAGGACATTATAACGCCTTCGTTCCGCGTTTCATATTTTTTGATTTTAGTCTATTTCGAATAAACTGTGAAATGATGACAACCGTGCAAACACAACTACGGTAACGACGGGCCATGACGAGCAGCTGGAGGACAGCGACACTCAGGCATGAGTGAGAGAAGAAAGTAACCTCATGCCGAACCACTCCGATGGCAGAGTTGAGCACATCGTGCCGACACACTGAGCTCATCTCCGCTAAAGCATCGTCGAGAATCACACAAGTGCAGGCAACATCAACTCTACCACCAGGAATACCAAACACTCCGTTGGTACGAGACTTCATACAGCGATAATGGACACCGCACGCGCGGCACCGGCCAACGAGGATGATAACCTCACCCGCAGTCTCATCGCACCTACATCGCATCTCGATCACTCGGGCTAACGAGGATGGAAACCTCACCCGCTAGGTTCGCAACGACATTCATGCATGAGGGAGAGGAGAACGTAACCTCATGTCGAACTTCTCCGATGGCAGCGTCGAGAACATTGGGCCGACTCACCGAGCTCATCTTCACCAAGTATCAACGAGAATTTCGCGCTCTGGCATCCGCGTTCACCAGAGCATCGCCACTCTGATACACCCACCAAGAGGCATTACACACCTGCACACACACCTTCGCAACACACGGTGAAGAAAGACACGCATCATCGCAGCACACAGCGACGATGAACAAACGCACACCACTCCAAACGCTCACGACCGTCTCAGCAACCGACACCTGCAACATCATCACAACCAAGAATATCTAGACGCACATCATCATCTTGGGCTCCATCGAGTGACACAAGATCATTGTTGGACTCAACCCTATCACCATCAAGAAAACGCATCAGATTCACTCAATAGTTAAATTCATTTTTCTTTACAGTCACGTATACCGTTTTCAGTGCCGTTGACGCGTATACTCTTGTATATATTGTATATAGTTATCCTTTTTTTTTTGCCACAGAAGGGGAGTATTGTAGCGAAGCTACTTATATATTTACAAGATCTATGCGCGCGCTCTCGCGCGCGCTGACCTATTCATTTGTTGAAATGAAGAAATGGAATTCACTGAATTTCACTTTCTCATGAATACCTTATAAATATTGATAATGAATCAAAGATAATTCGACTAATGTTATATGTTTAAAGGCCAGTTTGATGACAGTAACGGATTTCTTAAGCATACGATAAATGGAGCTATGGTCACTTTGATGACAGTCATCGAAATGACCACTAGTGGGCGTTCGTCGTGTGGTATAGTGTTCGTCCTGCAACTTTGACCTCGACCTCGCGAACCCTCCAGTATGCCGATAACCTCAGTCCGAATATCTGACGCGAATATTCCCGAAAGTGGAGTTCTTATGTTTTGTAATAAAACTTGCGGTCAGAAGGGACCGCGGCGGATCTAAGTGCATGAGGAGGTAGAGCAAGGTATGAGCGTCATTTACCATCTGAACATAGCGACCGTGCGTAACCCGACCAGGCAGCATATTACAGCATTGCGCCAGTTGGAAATTGTGAATACACACCCACAATTAACAACTTTTTGGGAGCCTTGAACAGCCACCTCCACGTGGTGCTCCCGGGTCATGCCAAGAGCTGTTCGGTTTTGAGGTTATAATTCATACATTTGAATTATACTTCAAAACATTGCAGTGTCATCGTAATAATCCTTAAACATATATATATATGTATATATATATATATATATGAAGTGAAAAAAAAATTTACCACTGAATAATTTGAAATTATGACACTGTGACATCCGTCAGAAAATTCATTTAAATTCATTTTCTTACGTCGTCATTCAATTATCTCAATGATAGAAGCGACTTTTGAAACCCAAATTATCTTCTGTGACCGGGGAAAGTGACCCCCTCGATGTTAGGAATATTTCGGCTGCACACATCTGTGAACAATAAAAATGTTCCCAACGTCGAGTTTCTCCTAGATTAAGGAGATATCAGCTGTGCAATATCAGATGCACTGTAAACATTTGAGTCTAGTCTCGTCTCCTTAGTCATGCACTTTCCACGTGTGACCATAAATTTCAATAAACACTGGACTCTTGAACCGGAAAACTGTTGATAACAAATTCTAAGCGTGGGTCCAAATTTTGTAACTCCCACGACAAATATTTGATATAAAAATAGAGTAACGATTTCGTTTCCCACATGGAGGAAATGACATAAACATTGACGACTGTTGATAACAAATTCTAAGCGTGGATCCAAATTTTGGAATTCCCACGACAAATATTTGATATAAAAATAGAGTAACGATTTCGTTTCC